GTTTCAGTTTTCATCCAAATTCAGGAAGAAATCAGTGTCCCAGTTTGAAGGCCATCAGACATTGGCTTTTTCCTGAATTTGGAAGAATTCTCTCTTATTTGAGGGAGAGTCAGCCTGTTTGTTCTATTCAGGTCTTCAAATGATTGGATGAAGCCCGCCCACACTAGGTAGGGCAATGTGCTTTATTCAGTCTACTGATTTAAATGTTAATCTCATCCAAAAACAACCTCACAGAAACACCCAGAATCGGCAGGAGGCAGTGGCTCACACCTGTAATTTCAGCAGTTTGAGAGGCCGAGGCGGGTGGATCATGAGGTCAGCAGATCGAGACCATCCTGGCCAATATGGTGAAACCCCGTCTCTACTAATAATACAAAAATTAGCTGGGCATGGTGAGACGTGCCTGTAATCCCAGCCACTCGGGATTCTGAGGCAGGAGAATCGGAGTCGGAGGTTGCAATGAGCTGAGATTGTGCCACTGCACTCCAGCCTGGGGAGAGAGTGAGACTCCGTCTCAAAAACAAACAAATACCCAGAATTATGTTTAACTAAATATCTAGGCACCCCATGGCCTAGTAAGGCTGATATATAAAATTAACTATCATAAATGTAATATTCAAAGTGACCTGTATCACCTCTACAGTATACTGTTTGTTAAAAGTGAGTTGCTAAGTTAAGCCCACTCTCTCAAAGGGAGAAGAATTAAGCTCTACCTCTGGAAGGAAAGCGTATAGAATAACATGCGGACATATTTTTCAAACCTCTCTAACCGCTGGTACTAGGAGACTCCAGTGTTCATTGAATAGAAGTTACTGAAGAAAAAAATGGAAGGAATGGTAGAGAAGTAATATTTGAAGAGAGAAATGTTTAGAATCATCATCTTTCATGAAGAGAGATATGAGTCTTCAAATCAAAATGGGCACTTGGGGTTTTAAACAAAATAAATTAAAATAAATTTTTAGACAGATTGTGATAAAATTGCAGGAGATCAAAAATAAAGGGACAAGAGCTATCAGAGAGAAAAGATATATCACCTGCAGAGGAAAACAATTAGATTGACAATAGACTTCTTATCAAGTAAGAGACTGATAAGCAATGGAGTAATGTTTTCAAAGTGTTGAAAGAAGGTAACTATCAAAATTCTAAGTCTAGCTAAACTTTCATTCAAGATTGAGGACAAATCTCAAATATGCACAATAAAATTTATTTTTAAAAACAGATTGGGGTAAATATTAAACAAAGTTATTTAACTTTCTGTCACTCTGATTCCCCATTTATAATGATAGGATAGGTAAATAACAATATTTACCTTACAGGCTGTTAACTTTTCTGTTCACTGTTACATCCCAAGTGCCTAAACAGTGCCTAACACATAGTAGGCATGCAATAACAGTTTATTAAATGAACGGATGAGTTAATAGGATTGTTGTGAGGATTTATATATGTAAAGAATTTACAGCAATGCTGCCTGACATGTTAATAAGTACTCAATAAATGTTTGTTGTTAAGATTTTATGACCCATAGACACTCAGAATGACTAAAAATATTTCTCAACAAAAAGAAAAATTCTGTAAGGAAGTATCAGGTATAAAAAAAATTATGACACAGAAATTGATAAAATGCTAGTAAATTAACTAATGACCATGGAGAGGAGATTAAGAAAAATTAATCTTTTTGTATTATTTCTAAAAGGTAAAAACTGAAACCTTTAAGGTGATTCTAAAGTTCACATGAAAGAGCAAAGAGCCAACAGCAGCTAAGAGATGTTTGAAGAATGAGGAAAGGCTATTTGCCATACTAGATTTAAAGACTTATGAACTATAATAATTAAGACAGAAATGTTGGTACAGGGAATGGAAAATAGACCAGTGAAACAAAATGACCCAGAAGTAGACTCATGCATATATGGAAACCTTATATATGATAGAAAGCATTACAAATCAGTGGATACAATGGAGTCTTCAGTAAATCAAACTGGAACAATGTGGGGAAAATGAAATTTGATATCCTACCATATAAAAATCAATTGTAGTTGGGTTAAAAACCTAAGTGCAAAATAGAAAGACTCTAAAACTCTGCTTTTAAAAAAGAAGAATCTTAGATTCTTCCTTAGCTAAAGAAGAACTTTTTGGAAAAAAACAACAGAATACAAACATAAGGGGGAAAAGGATTAATGCCACATTTAATATAGTCATATTAAAATTTAAAATGTTCATGTCTCAGAAAATCCAGTAAACAGTGAAAAGACGTGCCTCAGAGAAGGTATTTATAGCTGATATAACTGAGAAAGATTGGTATCCAGCATGAATAAAGAATTCCAAAAGTCAAGAAGGAAGAAACAACCCAATGGAAAGAAAAATCAGCAAAGGATGTGATGAAGCAATTTACATAGCAGAAAATATGAATGGCCAATGAACATATGAAAAGATCTTCAGTCTCACTGGTAATCAGACTAATGCAAATTATACCAGTCTGTACTCATCAGACAGGCAGACATGTAAAAGGATGAAAAGTCTACGTATGTTGATAAAGATGTGGGAATGTAACACTCTTACACTACTGATGGGAGAATAGGTTGATTTAAGCACTCAGAAGAGCTATTTTGCAAAGCCAAATAAAGTCAAAGAATACGTAAACACCTGGAAATTCTCCTTCTGGTATGTGCTCTAGAGAAATACTGTTCTATAAATGCACAAGGAAGCATGTAAAGGAATGTTTATTCTAACACTGTTTGTAATGGTGAAAATTGTAAGCAACTAAATATCAATCAAATGAGAGTGTATGCTGTAATATATTTGCATAATGGAATATTATACAACAATTTCTAATGTTAATATTATATGCTACTTATGGATACATAACGTATACTAAAATTATGTATTTTCAGGCATGTTTTAAACACCAAGCCTTAATAAAAGTTACCTCTGAGGAAGTACATGAATGGATGGAGGGATACAAAAATGTAGTGAGATAAGCAAAGAAGACAAAATATTAAGAGTTGATAAACTGAGTGGTGGCTACATGGTTATTATGGGCATTCTTTTGGACCCTATACTTGTTTGTATATTTGAGATTCTTCATAGTAAGTAATTTAAAAGTAAATTACCAAACAAGTTTCATTAAAAATTAGTGAATTAGAGCTATATGTATTTACATGGACAGGTCCCTCACACTGATGAAGAAGATGCAGAAGTATATTGACATTGTAATAGCATTTATATAGAAACTATATAGAACAGTATTATGTGCTACTTATGGATATATAATGTATTGTAAAATTATATACTTTCAAGCATGTTTTAAACACCAAGTCATGATAAAGGTTACCTCTGAGGAAGTATGTGAATGGATGGAGCCAAGCAAGAATGTAGCTGGATAAGCAAAGAATGTCGAAATGTTAAGAGTCGATAAAACTTAGTGGTGGCTACATGGGTGTTATATTGGAACCTATACTTGTTTGTGTATTTGAGATTCTTCATAGTAAGTAATTTAAAAATAAATTACCAAACAAGTTCTGTGAATTATTTGTATGTGTGTATGTATGTATTTTTTTTTTAATTTAAAATTTCTTGCCAACAAAAATTTATGACATTCTTTCTAAAAAATCTAATATTCTCTGGATCTTACTTAAGGGAAAATCTTATAAAACAACCTTTTAATATGGATGTGGTCCTGTAATTAAAAAAAAAAAACAAAAAACCTAATGTTATGTTCCTATCTGTTAATAAGTTCACATGGCTAAGTATTGTGGAGAACCTGAAAATTAAATTATCTTTATATACTCTTTCTAATGTTACCATTCTGAGAGCTACATGGGATTGTTTTACAAATGTTGTTATGTTGAAACTTAAGTATAAAATCAATATAAACTTTTTTTGTTTAAATTCAAAGAAATGCTCAATGATGAAATAATTAGACAAGTATAATAGCGCTCTGTGACCTATTGTAACTATTATTATTTTTGCTTTAAGTAACCTTACATTATGAGATATATTTTATTACTTTATTTTCTCAATGAGAATCTTATCTGGGATTTGACCAAATGTTTTGCATTTTCATTGACACATTCTTCACCTCTCCCTCAACTGATACTTTTTAGTTTCTGAACACTTGGAATAGATTTTTACAGAAGTTGTATAATATCTTAATTTTTAAATATATTAAAATTGTATAAGATATTTTGCCATGTAAGTTTGAATAGTTTTCTCCTTAATTGATAAAAGAAAAATTAGAAATTTGAATATTTTGCATTTTTTGCTTTTCACAGTTTTTCAAGGCAGACATGTTTTAAAAAGTATTTCACGGTGCCATGATTATGTAGCAGTCTTTGGATTTCTTTAGTGGTGAGACCGTTTTCATTGCACAGGATAGATGGGCTTAAATGGCAGGAACATGACTAGAAAGTGCATGTTATATATATTTCAGTCAGCATGTTGCTACTGACAGGTGCTCAATGGTTGTTGGTATCCTTGTCAGCAAAGAGAATCCTTTGACATTAAAGTCACCAGCTCAATCCTGATTTGGGGCGACTCTATTGGCAGTTCCATCAGGCTGCAGCTGATCAGTGAATGTCAGAGCTGCAGCTGTTCTTCAGGAGTGTCACCAGCCTACTGTGGGTTTTTTGTCTTTTTGTTTCTGTTTGTGGAGGGAGGAGTGGTTTAGCTTGTCTTGGTGTTCAATCTTAGCCAGACTTTCAAATTGCTTACCTTTGGGAAATGAACTGAGAGGTCATAGGGAATATAGGTATCTTTAGGGCATCCAAAACCATATACAAAGTGACGACTTAAATGGAGACTAGTAATGATTACCTTGACTCCAAGCCAATCAATGGTGGAGCCTCTGGGGACTCATTAAATGGCATTTGTGGACTCTGTAACCTAGCTTTTGAGCTGCATTTCAGGAAAAGCAGTGACAGCCTTTAATGTCTAATTGACCTCTTCTCTTTGTTTCACTTTCATTCACTTTCCATATTTGCCTCTGATGTGGTCCCTAATGGCAGCAAACAGCACTGCTCAGCATTTTGAACTTCTGTTCAGAGCTTCAGCACCTCAGTTTGGGCAGTTGTGTCATGGTAAGTGTTTGAGAATTCTTTATACTTCTCAGTTACTTGTTCTCTTTTTCTTCCTATGGATGAAATATATCCTGACTCACCCTGCCCCATACACACCCACAGGTTTTCAGATTTATGGTTCTCTTCTTTGTCCCTTGCTTTCAAAAGTATGTCTTTGAAACACTGATGTTATTTGTCCAGGAGAGCAAAGAAAGAAGTATAGTGTGGTGGAATATAGTATAGTTCTGCCTCAAACCAGATGTTGTCTCCGACAGCTAATCACCTCTCTAGGTTTCTTCACACACTAAGATGTTAGTCATACCCAAATGCCAATAGTTTAGTAAGTTTTTCGCTAAGCTTATTTTCGCTTTTAAATCCTGAGATAATTTTCTTGAAATTTTAATGATAATAGATAGGTTTATTTTATCTGTTTGTTTTTGTGTTTGTTTTACTGTCCTTATTGGTCAAAACAGAAAGATTTGACCAAAACAGAAAGATTGGAACTCTTTTTTTGTGTGTGGAAATTTTACTGGTCTGTGAAATCTAAAGCTTAGGGACTGTTGGACTAGATAAACTTTAAAGTCCTTCCAGATTTAAAATATGATTTTATGTGACCTTGAAAGAGCTCATGGGAAGAGTTAAATCTTTTAATCTAAACACATAATTACATAGCTTTTAAATAATACTGAGATGTAAAGGACAATAGAAATCTTATGTGGAGAAGGTGTGCATGTGCGTGTGTGTGTGTGCACACATGCCGTAAGTGAATCTTTCAGTGTAACTGACTGGAAGAATTCATTCCTCCTCATTTGTCCTCTGTTTCCTAAAACAATGTAGGTTTAGGAGATCCCCAGACCATTCCAGTTTTGCCTTGCATTCACTTAGTAGGAAGACTTGAATAAGCAAAATGATTGCAAGATTCTAGAAAACTGGTATGCTAGGCTTAGAGTCAGTAGACAGTGTCCCTGACCTAAAATAAGTCCCATTTGAACACCTCTTAGAGCTCAGCCTGGCTTCAGAAATGCCCTAGGATTTGGCAGTGTAGACTAAATAGGCCTCTTATGATGACATATTTATCTCCGTGTCCCCATGGTCTTTAAAATTCTGTGGTTAGGTTTTATTAAACCCCAAGTATGGGCACAGGTCGTCTCAGTCTCTAGAAACAGTCTTGGGAGCCCACTAGATTTTCCTCACTTCTGGTCAAATTCTTTCCATAGTAAGCCATTTGATAGGCTTCTGTGGGTCTCTTTAGTGACTCTTGATGGGCCCGGTGACATTTGATGGCCTTTTCTGTCACAACAAACCAGCCAGTTACTGCCACTTGGATCTTCCTTATTGCTAGCCTGCCCTCTTTAGATGGGTAAGGACCATTTAACTTTGCTTAGACGTACCGTATTCTGCTTGTTATTTACCTCCCCTTAAACTGGAGCAACATTCCTTAGAAAATCAAGCCTCTGACCATAGATGCTTTACTGTTGGAATTATATATATGCATATGGTTGGAATTATATTATTTTAAGTTAGCATTTTCCAGAGTTGACATGTGGAAAATTAGCTCTAAAGGATAATCAGTTTTAAAGGCTGTGTATTTGGGAGTGGAGTGGAGATTCCTAATGAAATTACGAAGCCAGGTATGGTTGCTCACACATATAGTTCCAACTACTCTGGAGGCTGATGTGGGAGGATTGCTTGAGCCCAGGTGTTCGAGGCTGCAGTGAGCTATGGTTATACTACTGCACTCCAGCCTGGTCTTAGAGTTTTACAGTGGTTTGTCCTACAACCAAGAAACTGTTTACTTTTGCTAAAACCAGTGTTTTCAAACCTTGCCTGACTACTGAACTCATTTTTCTATATTACATTTTATTGTTGACTGTCAATATAATAGCAATTTTTAGATTTGTGATATTTATGAAGCAACTGTTCACAGTATACACACATAGAGCACTGTGTTGACTTTGCCATGGTGATTGTGGTGTATTATATACCTTTGCTGAGTATTCACCTCATGGCATACTTTCTCTGTAGTGAGTTTAATGTAGATACTAAATTAGTTGTGTCACTTTTTTTCTGAAACTAATCTTTGTACCACAAGTGCCAGTTAGATTTGCAGTGACAAGAACTTCTGAGGAGTAGTGTCTCACCTGTAATAAACCTGAATATTCTAGTCAATGCCGTAAACATTTTTTTAGGACTCCTTAGAAATACTTATTTTTTCTCTTGATTGAGAAAGAGACAAAATGTATCTATTTCTTTTTACTTTTAAAAAATGACTTTAAAAAGTTTAAATTTCACTATTATATAGTGCTGATTGAAGTGATTTAAAGTTGCCTAAATTAAGGAATCGTAAGACCTGCCTGGTATTTTCTTAAGTTTCCTGCTAATTATGTGATCCTAGTCAGGTCCCTTAAATTCTTGCTGATGGTTCCTCTGTGGCATTTGCCCTGTTTTTAAAATTAGGTAATGAATAAGAAAATAAATATGTCTAATATTTTTTGGGGAAAAGGAGTCCTGCATAATATCTAAAATTTAGAAGGAATTATAGTTAATAAAGGAGGGATAGGTTGCCTTTGTTCCAGTAAAAAGTATTTAGTTTCATTTTTATTTTCCTAGCCCTGAATTTGGCATGAGTAGTGCTATGAAAATTTCACAACAACAACAAAAAACTCTTGAGGGAATTTCTCACTGTATTCTCTGCTGGTAGAGAATTTGTTCAAATGCTGCTGAGATTGGCCAGGCACAGATTGGGCACAATCAGAATCATGGGTTTCAGAAAGTTTTTTAATTTTTTGTTTTCTAAATAAGCTAATTGGCTGTCCTGATTATCAAACCCACAGTTTTGTATTGTTCAGGTATACTCGATGAAGGAAATCCCAAACTTGTTTTCGTGGACTTCAGCATGATTCCACCATACATACACTGACATCCACAACCTTAGAAATCATTACCCCTATATCTAATCTGTCAGCCTTTGGTTCCACCTCAAAAATACAGCCCCAAATCTATCAGATTTCTACAATTCCACCATTGCTACCTTAATCCAAGCCCGTGTCATCTGTCCTTTACACTGTTGCAGGCCTCCTCAATTAGCTTCCTCCTCTGTCCCTCCCCGCCATCGGCCCATCCTCCAGACAGAAGCCAGAGGTGGTTTTGCATCGGTTTTTATGTCAATAATAATATGTCACTCCTTTGCTTAGAACCCTCCATTGACTTCCTTAGTACTTGAAAGAAAAATCTAACTCCTTCATGGTCTAAATGGCCTGGCCACTGCGTGACTCTGCCCTTGGGCCATATGGATCTCATTTTTGTTCCTCGAATGCATCAACCTCATTCCTGGAGATTTCAGCAATTACCACCTCTTCTGTCAACCCCTTACACTCTGATCACTCTCACATCACTGTTTTATTATTTTCCCACCATATGTCACTCTTTGAATGTATTTTTTCCTTACTTAATTAGTCTGTGTGTCTTTCCCAAAAATGTGGACGATATTCTCCTTTTTTCAGTTTACTGCTGGTCCTAGCATCTGGAGTGGTGCATAAATGTTTGTTGAAAATACAATTAAACAAAAGAACAAAAGGAAATAATCAGTGTAATTGTTTACTATTTTGTTTCCTTTTGATTTCTTGTGATAATTTTAATATCTGATTTTAACAAAATCAAATGAACCTCTTAAAATAACCTATTTAAAGGAACATTATTAAAGCATATAAAGCCCAAGAACTGAAATGTTTAATCCTTGATTAGTAGAGTCTTATCCTGTAATCATGAGGTAAGCACTGGACACCTCCAATAACTGACTGTTGATTAACATATGTAATCTACATTATTTTCATGTTGTATGTGCAGTCCCCAAATGCCTCATTTAACCCAAAACTAGTATCCTTATTAGTATTATCAGCATTTCCACATAGTGTTTTAGAGCCTACAAGATGCACATCAGGGAGTTCTGATATACCTGCCAAAGTATATTAGCCATATATAACATGGAAGAAAGTAGGTGCTGTCAATGAGTAGCAGCAGCAAGGTTGAAATGGTGGGCATAAAAGAAGAACACATAATCCTTTAATTCTTCATGAGAAACCAAAGACTTCAGACTGCTTTGGGATTTAATTCATTAACGTCTTCTGTCTGGAGTTCTCTTAAATGGATTTTTAAATAAATGAGTACTCCTGGCTGTTTTATGAAACGGTGGCAGATCCGCGAGATGAGTGGGCAGATCTGTATTAACAAGGATGTGGATTTGTTTAAATGGGAGCAAAGCAATAGGTTGTAATTAAGAATCTGACTTACTCTTAACAGTTTGCATGTCTGAGCATAACATGTAAAAGATTGGAATTTGATTTCCAGATTGAAGACTATGATGTGATAGCTAGCATGATAGGAGCCAAGTGTAAAAAACTCCGGACCCTGGATCTATGGAGATGTAAGAATATTACTGAGAATGGAATAGCAGAACTGGCTTCTGGGTGTCCACTTCTGGAGGAACTTGACCTCGGCTGGTGCCCAACTCTGCAGAGCAGCACCGGGTGCTTCACCAGACTGGCACGCCAGCTCCCACACTTGCAAAAACTCTTTCTTACAGCTAACAGATCTGTATGTGACACAGACATTGAAGAATTGGCATGTAATTGTACCAGGTTACAGCAGCTGGACATACTAGGTAAGGATGCAATGTATGAATTTGTTTTAAATGTCTGTTTCCTTGACATAAAAGCCAATCTCAGACTTTTTGTAAGCAGAAAGAAAATTTTTGGATTCAATAAAAATTTTGTACTGATAAGACTGCTTGGTTTGATAGGAAATGCAAGATAGATCAGTTAATATAGGGAATAATTATATATGTACTTTAATAAAATAGTGAGGACAGTAACAGAGTTTTATAGTTGAAACTGTCAAAAACTCTAACCATTAATTCTTGGTCTACTTGGAAGAGTGAGAATTTACATGAGCTGTGCTCTCTGTTTTTATTAACGAGAGAAAAGAAATTGATTCGTTTGTATAATGAATTCAAGCTAGTTTTTTTTTAAAGTTTCTTAATTAAAATTCTTGATTAAGGAATATTATGAAATCTTTATCCCTGATAATTCTAGTGTTTAGGAATAGTTCTACCCCATGCAGATCTATTGAAAATCTTTTCCAACTGTGGGATTTTTTGTATCCTTACTGCGTTCATCAGAAAGGAACCCTATATAATTTTGTTACTTCTTACTTTTAGCCAGGGGTGCTAGCAGTGTCACAGTAGTTATCATTGTGCACACAATTGATACTTTGTGAAGTCACATCGCACTTGCACATTTTACATCAAATGCATGATGAAAACCATTTTGAACTGGGGAGACAGAAATAGGAAAGTCTGGAGGAGCTGATTTGAAGGGGTAGGAGGTAGGAATGAAGATAGTGTGTAGGATATTGGCAAGATTCAGGTCCTAGATGCTAAAATGGCTGGAAAATTCAACTTTTACTTTTCTTAACAAAATCATTTCAATATGAAGTTATGTTTGAAAAAATGATTTTAATTTGTAAAGGGTTATTTCAGGTTCATTACAAACAATAAATCATGAATGGATTAATTGTTAGCACTTTATATAAATGTTATATTTAAGGTGTTCTTTTGTTTTGTTTTGTTTTCCTTAAATAGGAACAAGAATGGTAAGTCCGGCATCCTTAAGAAAACTCCTGGAATCTTGTAAAGATCTTTCTTTACTTGATGTGTCCTTCTGTTCGCAGATTGATAACAGAGCTGTGCTAGAACTGAATGCAAGCTTTCCAAAAGTGTTCATTAAAAAGAGCTTTACTCAGTGACTTAATATATGTTCTGTAATAAAATTAATGTGCTTTGGTGGGGTTTATTTTGGGATTGGTTTTGGGTTTTGGTTTTAGTTGTTTTAATGGTAAGAATTAAGATATTTGTAGATTTTGAAGAAAAATATGAAATGGACTGTCCATTAAATCAAGTAAAAATGTGCACAAATGTTTTCATAAAATATTACAAGCACTTCTCTTCAGGAATATGTGAGTGGATGATATTTTTACCTTATGTTAATCAGTGATATGCTGTAGTCAATAATATGATTGATAAAAGAATAACATGGTAACATGCTAACTTATTTTCAAAGGAACACTAAGCAATAAAGTATCATGGTATTTATGCAAAAAAAAAGTAATTTTTTACACCTCCATGTAAAGATGTCTTATTAAGCCTGTGACCTGGCAAGTGTTTTGTTCAGTATGTACAAAATGGCCAGAGCTAGTTGGAGAAAGAGACATGCTTTTCCAGCTGTTTGGTTATTTCTTTGAATTAATTGTTCAACTGGAAAATTTGTAGTTTTTCTAGCCAAGTGTGGTGGCACACACTTGTAGTCCTAGTGGCACAGGAGGTGGAGGCAGGAGGATTACTTGAGATGGGATTTTGAGACTCTAGTGTACTTACGACTACACCTGTGAACAGCCACTGCACTCCAACCTGAGCAATGTAGCAAGTCCCTTTCTCTTAAAGAAAATCGTAGTGTTTCCACTTTTCTTCTGATATTTTTGTCTATTTCACTACTGGATAATGCCCATATAAAAATTTTGGTATAATCAAGAATAAGAGGTAAACTACTAAATAAAAAAGCTTTCCAACTGCTATAAGCAGATGCCTTAACATTTTGCAAAAGGTAAAGTTTTGAGGTTTCTGAATATATGTGGATTTTCTTTATATATTAAAAACATAAATGTGGATATATATATATAATTATACAAATTATACAAAAACATACATTGTTTTGTTAAAAAATTAATTCTGCTACTGAGAAAGTAGAAAATATTTTGTGGCACGAAAGGCACAGCTGTTTTGAACAGAAAACTAATATTAACTGTAGTATAACGAAATTCATTGTCCTACTCAGTGCAAAACGGTTATATTCCAGCATCCGCACACCCTAGCGTGATCCTGTAGAACTGTGGTAATACTGTAGCCACTAAAATAGCTGCTAATGTGGCTATTTTATTAATTTTAATTGAATTCAAGTAGGACTTCACTGTTTCAGTTGCACTGGCTACATGTCAAGTGTTCAGTAGTCATATGAGGATAATGCTTCCTTTGTGCCTGGCCCTGTTTCTTGTGCTTTGCATTTACTAATTCAATTCTCACAACAACCCTGTAAGATAAATGCCATTACTAACCCCCATTTACAGATGAGGAAACTGAGGCAAAAAAAGATTGAAGAATTTACTCATGATCCTAAAGCTGCTAGTGGCAGAGCCAACATATAAACCCAGGCCATCTGGCTTCTGAGGCATTGCATTCAACCTGTGCTTTTAAATGTTCAGGGTAGCTTCTGGCTCTAGGGCAGAGGTCAGGAAACTTTTTCTATAAAGGGCCAGATAGTAAATGTTTTAGGCTTTGTGGGCTAAGAGGTAAAACTGAGATTGTTATGTAGGTACTTAAATAACTGGAGAGAAATAACATTTGCACAAAAATTTTATTGACAAAATTCAAAACAATAATTGAGAACTATCTTTTTGTAATATGGGTTTACCAATGAAAATAATTTATTTAGGGGAAGGATCAAAGTTAATGTTTCGTGTCATTAAAGTTGATTATAAGTACTTACTTGCTAATGCTGATCTGTAATAAGATTTTACGTATCTTCTGAAAATTCGTTGCAGATAGGTATTGTTAAATAATCCATGAGAATATGATTTTTGTTGAGCATATTCATCACTTCAAAGGTAACTTCTTTGGATATTTTCCTTTTAGCATGTTATTATATTGCAGCTTAATCACTTCCAATTGAAGATTAGGTAGGAGCTTCTCAACTGCACTGGGTTAAATCGATTTTGAAAAATGGAAATTTCCTTTGCACTTGCAAACTCCAAACTCCAAATGGGAAGTATAGTGTGAGCTACAAATTTGTGTGAGAATGGAGATCCCACTTTGTTGTCTTACCTTTTGATAGCACAGGAAATGTGTAAAGCAGCTTGTTGTTACTTGTAATTCAAATAGTGTTGTCATCAAAATGACTTTTGTTGACATGTTTCACATGTAAACACTTGTTTTGCCTTGTAATTTTGGCTTGAATTCATTTCAAAATTTTATTAAGTCTTGAGCAAAAGCTAAATTCCAAAGCCATTCAGTGTTCCATAATAGTGGTTGAGGACATGTCTTCTTTTTCAGAAAAATGTCAATATCAACCCTGCACGTAAAAGCTCATAATAGAACTAACACTATTATGCCAGTGTGGTTGGGCAAATTGGAACATTCATCTTCTGTATCTGACAAAAGATAACTGAACCATTGGTGTTTAATCTGTCAGAAACTATGAGAGCAAATGAAGTTCACCATTGATACTGGTAGTTCAATAATACAAAGTTGAGTCAAATATATCCCACAGAGTACCTGCTGATGAATAATACAGTAAATAACCATAGATTTTAAATACCTTCTTACCTTTTCACTGGCTTAAAAAATTTGACAAACTTAAATCTTTTTGCTTCACACATTTTAGCACCACCAGTTGTAACACATCTTAGCAGATTCTACTTCAGGTTGCATGAAATTTGTGTTTTCTTCTTAGAAAATATTCATGCTTGTAATTGTTCCACACAGATAATTTATAGAGACTAATTTCAGTCACTTCAACATTGGCATTGACTTATCAAATAAGCAATAACTAGGCAGTATCAGTAACATCTGTTGACTCATCAAGAGCCAAGGAAAACCACTCAGGGTCATTTGCCTTTTTTATTGACTGTTGATGTTGTTCCCAGTGTTCTCAATTCTTAAAGCATCCATTCTTGCCAAAAGGCTAATTTAATAGTCTTAAGCAAGTTTACTTTGGGCACGTTCCTTCAGCTGATGGAATCAAACACAATTTAGTCATCGTTAGTAAAATGTTTTCCTTGCTTGGTTAACAACTGAATCACTTTGGCTGCGACTTTATCTTCATTATTGATTTTTTTTTTTTTTTTTTCCTGAGACTGAATCTTGTTCTGTTGCCCAGGCTGGAGTGCAGTGGCACGATCTCAGCTCGCTGCAACCTCCACCCTGCAGGTTCAAGTGATTCTCCTGCCTCAGCCTCCCGAGTAGCTGAGATTACAGGCACAAGCCACCACGCCTAGCTAATTTTTGTGTTTTTAGTAGAGATGGGGTTTTACCATGTTGTCCAGGCTGGTCTTGAGCTCCTGACCTCAAGTGATCCACCCACCTCAGCCTCCCAAAGTGCTTGGATTATAGGCATGAACCACCGCCCCTGACTGCACTATATAGTATTCTTTAAGAACAGCTCTAATGGCATTGCATATTAAACATCATACTCTGACGTCTCATCTGATTTTTAAAAATCCATATACTAATGTGCCTTAAAAATGTCACTTCAAGTCTACTCTTCTTTTTTTCTCTTGTTTTGATGTTATGGGTAAGCACTAGTAATAAATTTAAAAATATTGTGGTATGACAATATATGTAGCACTCAAAATGTTGGTAACTGCATTACTGCAGTTTTTAGTGTGCCAAGGAGCAGTGCAAAATGATGACAGCACCACATAAGCCTCTTTTGCACTTATTCAACTCTGCCATTCTATTGTGAAAGCAATCATAGACAATACCTAAACGAATGAGTGTGGCCATGTTCCGATAAAATTTCATGAGCACTGAAAGTTGAATTTTACATAATTCCTTGTGTTACAAAATATTACTCTGTTAGCCATTAGATTTTTTTCAGCCATTAGAAAATGTAAAACTATTCTTATGAGCTGGCTGGATTTGGCCTGTGGACCAAATCTGTGACCCCTATTCCAGAGTATTTTCGAGTCAGTTAATCCATGCTTGCCAGTTCCAAATTTTATAAACCACATTCAAACCTGTTAATCCGCTGTTACCTTTCTCATTTTGCCGTTTAGGTTTTAAAATGAAGAGCAGTGTTTTGTTAGAAAAAACAAAGTGTTTACCATAACAAGAAAGATATGTAGACAAGAAAGATATTTATGTAGACTCTCTGTTCATTAAATTTTGAAGCCAGATGACGCATTGTTAGTTTTGACAACTGACTTAAATTTTTGTATAATTATTTATCTTTGCATTTTGCTCAGGTAAATTATCTTCCGAGAGTCTAAAAATAAAGATATCCCTGATCCTGTTTAAAAACATAAATAATCCTCTCAATGTAAATTGTTTTGAAATAAGATCTTAAAAGTACAAAATGTAGACAATATTCAGGTGCTTAATTTTGAGCCAATATGTAGAAAAGAAAAACTAATTTCTCTGTGGCAGTATTTTTATTTTTTGGCATTTCCCAGGAATTAACTGAAGACTAAAAACTCATATGTGCAAGTGTAATGACACTAACCAAAGAGTCAGTAAAAATTACACTTGGCTACCATGTATATATGTATATATGTATGTATGTGTGTGTGTGTATTACATATGTGAGACAGGGTCTCTATTGCCCCAGGCTGGAGTGCAGTGGCATGATCTCAGCTTACTGCAGCCTCAATCTCCCAGGCTGAAGCGATCCTCCCACCTCGGCCTCCCGAGTACCTGGGACTACAGACACCACCACACCTGGCTAATTTTTAAATTTTTTATAGAGACACAGTCTTGCCATGTTGCCTGTGTTGGTCTTGAACTCCTGAGCTCAAGTAATTCTCCCACCTTGGCCTCCTGTAGTGCTGGAATTACAGGCATAAGCCACTGTGTCCGGCCCCATGTATGTTAATAGTGAATGTTTGGCTTTTCATTTGTTTCTTTCAGCTAGTAAAGGATATCTGTTACAGACACATCAAAAATTTCACTTTCAAAGTCATTGTTGACACATCAGTGCTGCATCTACTTTTCTCCCTTTAGCTCATTTGATATTGATACTTCCGAGAAACTTTATAACTACCCTAAAAATCTTGTCAGTGACCATTAACTGCCAATCATCACCTCATTTCCTTTTAGAGACTAATTTCAGTCACTTCAACATTGGCATTGACTTATCAAATAAGCAATAACTAGGCTACTACTAGAAGCCTAGGCTGTGAGTATAAAACCATAGCTGTTAGAGTGATTTTTTGGCAATAGCTCACATTCTGTTAAGAGTCATTTGCTTTAATCAAAGATCATGATTTTATTTTTTATAAGTAGGGATGGGGCCAAGATTACTCCTCTGGCACAGCAGTAAGTGTACTCAAGGTCTGTGCCTGTAAGCTTGAGTATTTGGCTTAAATTTTGTACATATAAATACTGTTAAAGGTATATTTGACTACATTTTGAAAGGAAAAAGGTAGTCCTGCTAAAATTGACATTTAGGGATATTTTAATCTATGTATTTGGTAAAGTAATTAGTGAAGTATTAGTTATAAAATTTTTAAGGAAAACGTTTAAAAGCACAGTAGTCATATCAGATAGAATAGAATATACCAAAGATAAAACAAGTCTCTGTTACAAATGAAGTTGTCTGTACAGACAACTGAGATATTTTAATTTTATTTACATAAAAATGCTGTTCAATATCTAATGATTTCTGTTGTTTGTATTCTGTACTTTAGAGTAGTAAAATAAGTTTGAGTATCTCTTTAGTTCACTTTCAAAATTGATCATTTCAGGACACCGCTGAACATAACGGAAGGTTTGGGAAAATAGGTTTGTGTCACAGCCCCTATGAAATTATCAGCCTAGATGAGGAGCCATCGCCTGTGTACAGAATTCTTAACAATCCATCCACATGCTGTGAAATGACATCAATTTGGGTGCATTTTAAACCCTGAGATTACAGGAGTCTGCAACTACATTCTAAACTGAGTTCACACTGTTACTTATTTCTACCTTCTCAATCATTCCTCCAAATTAAGATTTACTTACTTAAAAGTTTGATTTGCTACTTAAACGAAAATTTGATACAGCGTTTTCCTCCTTTTACTCCCAGAGCATCATGTATTGGCCTTTTGTAGAAACCAATCCCTTCATTACTATAATTCTTCTGTTGTTCCACAGTTCTTAGCCCCAAACTACTTTTGGTGAGCTAGGATGGAATGAATGACACTGTTTAGTCAATATATATTGACAACAAAAATACATTGATAGCTTTGAGCTAGGCACAGATTGAGGTAAGGGTGCTGGGTATAGAAAAGGCATACAAACAACCACAGTACAATTTCCCAAAATGGTTATGTATCAAGACATTTAGGTTTCTTTACTGCTGAACTTCAGGGACTTTAAAAGACTAATGGACAGACACTGTGAAGGTGAGTTAAGATTTGTACTGTTTGCCAGACTTCTGTGAATACCTATCAACTTCTCTTAGAAATTAGTTTTTCAGAGCACAGTTTGGAAAATGCCACTAACAGCATTGTAGGATGTATTATGAAAAGTATTCACTAAGGTCACTTTTAACCTTCTCATTAAAGATTATGCATTGTAATTTTGTTTCTTTTAAAAGTATTTTTTATTTATTAAGAAGAATCCTTGGAAGTTACTAATATTTTGGTGATGTGATTTTAAAAATATTTTTGAGCGTGATTACTTTTTATTTTGACCCATAATTTCTAAGTCCATTTTTTATTAATGTATTATAGTTTTAGAACATTCATTTACTTCTAGTATCATAAAATTCTGTGAAATACAACTCGTAGTCTAGTAATTGGGAATACCTTAAGGGCCTGCTGTTCCAGTTGATGATTTTAATTTGAATATTTGTATGTAGGATTTAACTGTCAAGTGCTTTAATTAATATTTACATTTGTGCTGGTCCATAAACTATTTTAACCATCCATTATATAGTAATAGAAAAAAGTAGAAATTTTAGATTAACTTCTGATAAGTGACTATTTTAAAAATGTTTATGTAACTTTTGTAAAAAAGTATAGTAAAAATTCACTGCTAGCATCTGTTTTGCTGAAGTCTGAGAATGAAGGAAAAGGGGTAGTTTATCATGAGAATCATTTCTTTACAAATAAATAATTTAAATGTGAACCCTATTATATGTATAGTCATACATATGTATACATACATGTATATATACACACCTACATATACTTATTTCAGCTTCTCCAGTAAATATATGCTAATTTTGTTAAACTTTTTTTTTTAAGTGGGAAGTTATATTTCTGCAACGCTTTCTATAGCATATTTATAAATCGCTGCTAAGATTACAACAACCAAGGCAAGAGAATTGTTAATACTAACATAAATTCTGACACACCATTCTTCTTACTTGATATGTTTTTTGCTGACAGATACCCCAAATAGAGTCAATATTGTTGAAGCCCTAGTAACTTCATTTGAAAGTCATAAAAATAACTCCATCCAGTAAAATCTAAAATAAATGTTCTTAAGTCCTAATAATCAGAAATATTTGTCAAATTGAAAGAATTTACAAGATGTGTCCCTATTATATGTTATCTTCACTGTCAGCAGGGTATGTCTGGACATGTGCACAGAAAAGAGAAACACGTAGATTGAGGACTGTTCTGCCTTTGTCTTTCCAAGTGCCTTCCGCTTTATGATCTATATACACTCCTTGCAAAATCAAGAGTCTTTTTCATTTCCTGCTCTAGGTGCATCCATTTTACCAGGGCCTGGAGTATGAATGGAGGGTGCTCCTGGAGCATCATCAGGCCACGTTCCTCGGTGCCTTCAGCCCTTATAAACCTGTGTAGCAAGCCACTAGCTTCAGTTCTCCATAACCTTAAGTCTCCCCTCATAAACATCTGGGCGATTAAAAAAATATTTTAAACATTAAAATACCAAGTGTCAAAGAAGGGGAATTTCTTAAGCCTAGTGGTACACTGTTAAGTGGTTAGCTACCAACTCTTGGGAGAAAAAAAAGCTCCAATTTGTAGTGCTTCCCAATTTTTGTCATGTAATACTCCCATCTGGCTGATTTCAAGCTATCAATGTGAAGTCACTTAATGCTGAGGTGGAATGAGACACACATACTTTGCTCTTTTGAGATGCTATGAACTGGCTCCAGGTCCCCTCTGCCAGATAAAGTTATTAAACATTGATCCCATAATTTCTGAAAAATAGTCATAATAAGCTATAGCATTACGTGTAGTTAAATGATCCTTCAAAATCTATGAAATTCCTATTTGCCATCAAATACATTACAAGAATAAAATTAAAAGAAATGTTCTAAACAATAATAATCTAGGAAAATTAAGCATATAAAAGCTTTGAAAAATTTTATAAGCAAATTATTTTGCTGATGTAAATCTGACATAAATCATATAAATTGATAAGAGCATTGTGTGTTTATGGGATTATAATTTTTTTAAAGAGTTTCCCTGTATTTCCATGGCTTTGAAAATTATATCCCCAGATAAATTGTGGCATTTCCTTTGTGCATGTTGGTGCAATTTTACATTATGAAATTGTCGTGTAGATTCATTACACCTATTTTTCAAACAGAAATGACCATAATTCAGATATGAACCTATCATATACCAAGCTCTTAAACCGTATAAAAACATTCTGTCACTAATGTATTTGCAGGAACATTAATAAGATATTTACCCATTTTGTAACAAAGATTCTTGGTCAGAAAACCTCAGAATTTTTACTTTTGATAATCTGTCTGTTTCAGGTACCAGACTTGATCCAGATTTGGGAGCTTGTATGTATTACCTTTTATTAGAGTACAATGGGTAACAGACTACCTCCACTGTTTCAGTAGCTTTCAACAACATGTATTTTTCATTGTGTGGCTTGTTGGCTGCTGTGGGTTAATTGCTGTGGCTGCACTTCAGGATGTGATTCAGGTTCAGGTTTACTCTATTCAGGCCCCAGGCTGAAAGAGAAGGCCCTACCTGGGATATGCCCTTCTAGTGGCAGAGGGCATTAAAGCAAGAGAACTGGCAGCATTGTGAAATGCACTGAAAAGTTCATCAAGTCTGTTTGCATTGTGTTGACCAAGCAAGTCATGTGGCTAAACCCAGTCATTGGTCAGCAAAGCTGCTCTTCCTATAGGGAATCATTGTAAGTTACATCCAAAGGTTTTGGGAACAAATAATTCTGAATAATAATACCCGAGGTACTACAATGTACTACAGATATTTCAGCTCTTTAAGTAGCCAAAATATCTCAATATAAAACAAAATAAGATCTTAATTTTTTAAAAAGAAGTATAATATTGAATACACTGGTTTAGGTTCAGAATTTTTAGAAAGATCCTCACTCTTTTTAAGATTTTACCCAAATAATCACCTAATTCTATGGGAAATAAAAAATAGGATAAACTAATAGAAATATTTCCGAAACAAGAGTCGTGAGGAATCCATAATCAACTGTGCTACCTTTTGACTATTTAACTTTGAGTCTCAACTTCCTCATCTGTAAACTAAGCAAGTTGTTCCAAAAGGTTCCTAAGGTCGTTCTCAGTGTAAAGGTCTCATTCTAATGCTTTTTTATTGTCACCTAATTAACAAAGCATATCCTGCAATTTTTATTATAGTTTAACTCAGTTTTTCTTAGAAGTATGGCAGAGCAGTAAAACTTTAATTTTCTTTTATTTGTATCCCTCTATTCAAAAATGGATTTGAGATAAAGTAATAGGATATGATCTTCCTTGTTTTTACTTAGTATTCAAGTAGCGGAACCTAGCTTTAAAATAGTCAAGTCACTAAAATTCTCTTGCTTTACCATGAGAGTCACTGATTTAAACATGTATATGTAAGAATCATCTGGAAGCTTGTTTAAAATGTAAATTTCGAGTCCACAAACCCCTGGAGATTCTGATACTACAAAGCCAGAAAACTACATTTTTAACAAGTACCCCAGGTTTCCGAAGTAACCTAAGCAGTACAAAACCTATAAATTATTTTGGTGATAATAGGGAAAAAAAAACCTTTCACATGTTGGGATACTACATACTTAGTATAATAATTTAAAATTAATTATTAATACCATGTGTCTCATTATTTGGTGTTTGTATTTTATCTTTATGAATTAATTTTTGTCACTACATTTAGTGTATTGGACTATACACTAGTCCAATGCTATAAATTGTCACTGTAAGTGATGGTATTATTTTCATATATAAATTTTAGAAATGTAGAAACCAAAATACCTTAATGTTCCTTTGAAATGAAAGTGCTTTGATTAGTATTAGCATTCCCCAGAAACATACAGGGTAGGTCAATCTCAAAATGAAATACTATGAAAGGAGAACTACTGTTGAATTAGTGCATCCAATCTCTTTGCTTCTTCCTTGTTTCCTTACAATCTAGTCCTCCTTTTAAAACATAGTCAGATAATGTCATTTCTGTGCCTAAAACCCTTCAGAATAAAAACCAAAGCCCTTTATCTTTGCTACCTTTGAAACCTTATGTCCCCAGCTCCTTCCCCTACTCCCATCCCCACCCCCAGCTCTCTGCACCCTGCTCCTTGCTGAAATGCTCCACTTAAAGTGCTCTTCCCTATGTATCTTCAGCCCTCCAGGTCTCACTTTCTTCAGGTCTCTGCTCAAATATTGCCTATGCACAGAGGCCTTTATTGACCACCCAAACTAAAACAGCATATTCCCCTCTCCTCATGAATCATTAGCCCTTATAACTTGCTATAGTTTTATTTATAGCA